CCTGATCCTACACGTGCGTTCCCTTGATGCTCAGTTTCGTGCTGTGTTTGTTGACCCTGCCTTACTCGCCAAGAACCCCCCCCCCCCTCTCAATGTACATGACCCTGTACCTCCTAGCCTCCCGCCTCCCTAACCCATTCAAAGCCGTTCGTGATCACTTTCTCACCATTGATCCACCGACCCTCACCATTGACCTCTTTGAGGAGAAGCTCCTCGCAGTAGAGGGTCCTGCTCGGTCCCTTGCTGTCACTACTGGTGCTGTCCTCCCCCCTATCTTTGAGGGGTGTGCCCCGTCCTTCCTTGCCTCCTCTGTGGCCTCGGCCTCTGTTGCTACTGCAATAGAGGTGGCACCCGATGGATCATGGAGGTGCGAGCAACCTCCATGACCAAGCCAATGCAACGCTCAGCAATCCCATTCTACCGTGGAGAGGCCGGAAGCGTGAACGACTGGACAAGGCCCTCCGCACGACAAAATTCCTGAAGGAGGCCAGAGAAAAACTCACCGCCTCTGTCAGAGTGCAGTCAGAGGACCTGAAGGTCCTGCTGAAAACGCGCGCTCGGATGGCGACGAGCAGCGATGATCCAGTCGACCAAAGCACCGCGGACATCCGCCTTGCTCCGCAAGGGGAAGACCGTGGTGTAGCGCGTGTAGTCGTCAACAACCACCAGAAAGTAGCGCTCTTGGTCCTGTCCACGGACGCGGGCTGGGTCCAACACGTCCATGTGGAGAGTCTGCAGAGGAGCAGTGGTCGGCGGAAACGAGGAGGAGTGAGGAGCGGAGCACTGCCGCCCCTCGACGTAGAGAAGGCACGGTGGTGCAAGCGAGCGCGCGAGTGGGGGCAGGGACTTGGGGAGGCCAGAGACAAGGAGACACGAGTGCATGCCACGCAGGCGCGGCAGGGAGGGGTGACCCCAAGACGGTGGTGCCAGAGGAGAGTCTGGTGCAAGAGTGGCCAACACGAACAAGACGCAGCTAAATGACCCGACGAAGCCACTTGTGCAGACGCAGCAACCTGACCTGACATAGCCACCTGTGCGGACTCAGATGTCAGTGTGTACTGGCTAGACCCATGCCTCCGAGTGAACGTGGCGAGGTGCTCGCCCGTGCGTGAGTCCGAACAGATTGCCACACGCTCACATCCAGGAGTAAAGGTACTGACCAACTCGTCCGGGAGGATAGCGTTACTCACCAAGTTCTTAGAGAACGAGGGGATGTGGAGACCTGAGAGAGAACAGGAGGGGACTGCCGGACAAGGGAGGACAGTGGAGGCTCGTGCAACGACTGGGCCCCTAGAGGGGTCAGCCAGAGAGACTTAGACAGGTGCTGTAAGCAGTATGACTGTGGTGCAATCGCGAAAGAAGCAGCGAGACACGCCTGAGTCAATTGTGAAGGTGTGCAAGGCCTCAGCAGAAGCAGTACCTACGGCAGCAGACTCACAAGCACCTAGAGTAGCAGCCTCACAAGCACGTAGAGCAGCAGCCTCTACACTAGCAGTGCGTGGCACACACGAGTAACAATCACCCTCAACACTAGCTGATCCAGCATACATAGCTTAGATTCCAGCATTGATCTTGTCAAAGTCAAGAGCAAACACATCTACCCCCTTCCTTAGCAACGCTAACCAGTTGGGGATATCCAACTCATCTTCGCACTCGGTGCGCCAGGCATCCTCGAGACGGTAGAAGCAACAATACTCAGTGTGCCTAGTCTTCCCAAAGGGCTCACTGGTCCTGAGACCCGTGCGCCTGATGTACGGGCAGCGAACATTAGCCCCAGTGGAGCCATGCTGGACCATTAAGCTCCTGAGGGGTGCGTGGCTCCTGCTGGCATGGCTGCTGCTGCTGTCCACCCCCAGTGCCTACGTCGCCACGAGATGCACCACCAGTCGCCGCCCCATAGCCTCTGCCCCTGCCAGCTCCACCCCGACCGCCACCCGGGCCCCCTCCGCCCACTCCACCGCCTCCACCACCCCGGCCACCTCCACTGCCGCCACCACCGCCTCCACCCCCGCCACCACCACCGCTTCCACCCCCGCCACCACCCCCTCCAGTGCCCCCCCCACCACCCTTACCCCCCTCGCCCTTTCCACTGCGGCGCCTCCCACTAGGAGCAGACGCAGCACCGGCCTCCTCAGTACAAAGGAAGTCAACAGCAGCAGCAGTAGCAGCGGAGGGCACGAGAAGGGAGGGAGAACACCCCATAAAGAGGGGGGAGCGGGGAGTGCCACAAGAGGCAGCTACAGCAACAAAACTGGTCTCGGCCTTGAGGAGATGCTTCTCCAGCAAGGCAAGGGTGATCTTGATGGGGTCAAGAGCAAGGAGGCTATCCGAAACAGCGTGGACGGAGTCAGGGAGGCGGGTAACGAGGTAGTAGAGAGTGATGTACATTGGAGGCGGGTTCGCAGCCATAAAGGCCGACTTGAGAGCAACACGGTAGCGAGCGTCACTAGAGCAAAGGTGGGTCATCGGGTCAGCGACAGTGTGGAAATCCGACAGTTCAGGATGGAGGTACGGCAGCATGATACGGCTGAGGGCAGCAGTAGAGGGGGAGGAGTAGCGAGCTACTACGGCGTCATAGAGTTCCTTCGCCGTCTTAAGCTGACCGAAATGGACTCGTTCCTCAGGCAGGAGGGCAATGCGGACAAAAAGGTGGGCGGCAGCATCGCGGGTGAGCCACTGAGTACGAAGAGCACGCTCAGCTGAATCCTCAGGGGCAAGGCAAGTACCGAACATGTGCTCTAACAGTGAAACGTCTTCCCTAGCCTTGCTCTGCAGGTACAGCTGGAGATCCTCGAGCCAGCAGACAAACCTAATCGGGCGACCCTCCGCGTCAAAGGCAAGGACATTAAGAGTAGCCATCGTGAGCAGCAGCAGAAGCAGCAGCAGCAGCATCAGTAGCAGTAGCAGCAGCAGCAGCAGCAGCAGCAGCAGTAGCAGCAGCAGCAGCAGCAGCAGCAGCAGCAGCAGCAGCAGCAGCAGCAGCAGCAGCAGCAGCAGCAGCAGTAGCAGCAGTGCGGCAGCAAAGACAAGTCGGCCGGGCAGCTAGGCAGTGCGGCGCGGCTCGGGCAGTGCGGCGCGGCTCGGGCACGACTGGGCAGTGCGGCGCTGGCAGTAGCAGCAGCTGCAGCGTGCGCAGGGCGCGTGCAGGCAGCGCGCTTACGGCCGCGTGCGGGCTGTGCAGTCAGAGCGCGAGCAGGGCGGGCCGTAAGGGCAGCGCTCGGGCGGCGCCAGCGGCGTGCGGGCAGTGCGCGAACGAGGCAGGCAGTGCGCGGGCAGGAAACGCATCGCGCTGGCAGCATCAGCAGCGCGCAGGCAGCGCGTGGGCAGCGCAGACAGCGTGCAGGCAGGGCGCGCGTGGGCCTCGGGCAGTGCGCGTGCAGGCAGCGCGAGCAGGGCAGCGTGCGGGTAGCGCGCTAGGGAGCAAGCGGGCAGCGCGACGGGCAGGGCAGAGCGCGTGGGGCAGCGCAGGCAGGGCAGCCTAAGGAACGCTGTTCGGGCAGGGCAGTACGGGCAAGTCTAATCTAGCGGTGGGCCCTAACGGAGCGGTCTTACGGAGGATGGACCCGCTCTAAATACCATGTCAGAAATAGAACGTAGGAATGATGGACTGGGTTCCTAAGGATGAGTACAAGCACTACCTAACCCTTGAGTGTTGTACTCCTTAGAGTATGTCCCACCACAGACTAGAGATAACAAATGCAATTTGACACTTTTGTCGGTAACTCTGCGGTTCGGCAACCTTTTGAGTGGGGTTCAAAAGATTCTTCGTGATGTACCGTAATCTCCCGGCAAGCCCCCCCCCCCCCCAGGTACTCTTTCCGGAATACAGGTATTCTATTCGAGCTATTCCCGTGAGGACCCCCCTTTTTCATTTGTAGATTATAACTAAAAATGAACAATTTTAACTAAAAATATTTTTAGACCCTCCCTCTTGTTCAATTTTAACTGAAAAGATTCTAACAGTAACAAATTTGCGATGTTACGTGCGCATGGTGGTGTTCGGCGGACCTATGATGAGACACGAAAATTTGGCGCGTGTCATATTTGTGTCAGAATGTGTCAGAGTCGCTGTCAGGATTCGAATTCAAGGCGAATCCACCGTCAAGACTCGAATCCGCGCCGTGGAACATTCTGAAGACTCTCGATAAAACGTGATTTTCTTGTGTCATGTGTGATTTGAATGTGTCTTATGAACTCTAAACATGTCCAAGGGTCTTAATAAACATGCCACTCTCTATTGCCCACCCAAGCATTTTATAAAAACAAATCTATAAGAAACACGGAGATTAATTCCAGGAGATTACGGTAACCGTCTTTTTTCTTTCTTTCTTTCCTTTTCTCACCCAATCTTCGTTCTCGCTGAAGTCAACTTCGTTTTTGGATTTTGTTACTTTAAGAATGAATTTTCAACCATTCCATGTCGTAACAGATTCATTACCTTTGGTCAGAACTTTTTAATTTCACATTTTGTGTTAGCCTTGACATTATTGAGAGGATGCTTACATTAATTAACGAAACAAGGCCTGATACTTCTACTCTCTTGTGACCCTTTGTATTACCGAAGGTGTTGTTAGCGGTGAACCTCACGAACTTTGTTGTTGGCGAGTGACTTTGGGGGAGTGGTCCTCGAGTTGCTTGGTCGGTGTGGGTTGATTGGAGGTAGGTAGGATAAGGTGTAATAGCCTACAGTGTAGTGTAACAATTTACAGTGTAGTGTAATAGTGTACAGTTTACTTAAGGACGGCGTAAACCCGTGTCGCTTACCTGCTTCCTAACTCGAGGACGGCTTCTGCAATAATGTAATGTTCCCATCCCACCGAGACTATCGCCGCGAACAGGCTCCAGCTGCGTTCAGCATGGAACTTCCTTCCGAGGCAGCGCGGTCGTGTTTGTAACCGTGTAACCAAATGCAACATATTCGGTCTGCACTAGCAGTGCACTGAGAAACTCTCTTTCTCGTGCATGGTTTCTGGTCAGGCAGTCCAGAGTTGAGACGCACTATGGCGGGTACAATGAAGCGAACGCGGAAGCTGCAGATTAGCTGTGGGGACGAGGAGGACGACGCGTTTCCCAGCCATGGGCTATGGGAGATTAAGAATGCTGACGTGGACCGCAACTCGACAGTAGAGACCAAACCAGGCGGTGCTACTGGTAGTGGTAGCGGAACTGAGCAGTCTTATTTAGAGACGTCCTTAGTAAGAGAAAGCTCAGTGATTCCTACCCCTAGCACCACCACCACCGTAACGACAAGCATTGCCGTCTTCAGCTCATCGGGATATGGCGAGTCGGTATCTTCCGCGTGGGACCACATTTTAGGAAGCGACGCGACTCCCACCGGAAGCGGCGGTCGCGGGTTGCATGATTCCCCTCTCACTCCCACCCCTCCAACCCCGATACACGACAAAATCCTCCAGGCCACGTCGATCGAGATCGGCCACGTCGGCACGCTGACGTGGCGCCAGCTGGCGGTTGACCGCGACTTAAGGCTGATTTCCTGGTGGCACCACGTGCCACTGTACAGCCGCGACGGGCTCCTTAATTTCGTCTGCGCGACGCCTAGAGGCTCGTGGATTAAGTACGAGGTAGCTCAAGACGAGGAGTTCACCCCGCTTCGAATCGCCCAGTTCCCCGCCGCGAACGCCGGTACTAGTAGAGAAGCGGCTGCGGGTGCAAGTGCTAAAGCCGCCACGGCGGGTGACCGTTATTCGAGGCCCGCGCATTTCGCGGAGAACGCGACGCGGTTCAGCCTAGGGTTTCTCCCGCAGACCTACGCGGACCCCGCGCAGCCCAACCCTGACTATGGCGGTCTGGCGTACCAAGGCGGTCCGATGGACGCCTTGCTTCTGGACCTTAACGACGCGTCGCGAGCCGGGTTCACCTCGCTGGCCGCCTCTTCGATTAGTTGGCTGCCGTCCCGCGATTTACGGACAGGGGATGTGTGTCAGGTGAAAGTAGTCGGCGCGTTCGCGGTCGTGCAGCAGAAGAGCCACCTTTCCTGGAAGCTTCTAGCTATTCCGGCGGTCGCGAATGCTGGTAGAAGCGGCAGCGGTGCCGGGGGGGAGGATGACGTGGCGGATCAGATCAATGACGTGGCAGACGTTCATGCAATGTTCCCGGGCCTGCTAGACGACATTCGCGAATGGCTACGATTCTGCGACTGCGTTGATCCAGGTGGGTTAAATGCCTGACATATACTTTGCTAAAAGTTTCTTCTAAAATCCTCTGATTTTGGGGGTCAGCATCAAACCAAGCGACGAGGGGCACCCCTCTTCCATTGCATGTATCGTTCTCCCTTCTTTTCTTCCCCTCTCATTCTATCCACCGAGCCAACCCCCCCACCCCGTTTCCCCTCTCTTTCGCTACAGACGACGAGGAGAACGAGTTTGGGTTGAACCAGAGGGCCGGCGCTGCTGACGTGGCGCTGGCAATCATTGCGCAGGCGCATGCTTCCTGGCAGCTTCTCACCGACGACACCCCCCCGCCCTCCCCCTGGAGCCCCGCCAACCTCGTGCTCTCGGCGCGTGTTCTCCAGGAAAAATGGCAAAGATACACTGACAAGTACTATATGGAGGCGGCTTGTAAAGGAGATGAGAAGGGTGGCAGCGGCAGTGGTGGTGGTGGTGGTGGTGGTGGTGGTGGTGGTGGTGGAAGCTGGGAGGGTGAGAGGGGGGGTAGAGGGTTCAGTGTGGGGAGCTTGGGAAGCTGGCAGGGACGAGGTGCGAGTGGGAGTGTGAGTGGTGTTTCTGTCGATCCCCTTCCACTCAACCTCCCGTTTGTTCCGTTCAGCGATCCCACCACTTCGAGGGCTGAAAGGAGGTTCGATAGGGCGTGGGAGGAGACAAGCAGGGGTGGCTCATTCGCTGGTGAGAGTGGTGTTGGGAATGGCTTGCGTTTCGGCGGCTCTTTTAGGGAGTCTCGGATCAGCTCTTACGGAGGATCATCCGAAGGGCCTGCCACGGTGGTGGCAGGGCTGAGGAATTGCAGGTCAGGTCCCATGGTGGTGAGGTTTGGAGTGGTGGAGCAGGAAGCAGGGGAAGAGGGGAGAAATTGGGGGAGGGGAGAGGAGGGAAATCAGGAGCAGGAGCAGGAGAAAGACGAGGAGGGGCACGGTAGCAGGTCAAACAGTTCGGTAGAGTGCGGTGGAATGGAGTCTGGTACGGTTCAAACCAGCACTGGTGCTTCGGAATCAGCAGGAGGTGGGGGGACAGCAGCAGCTGCGTTTGCTGCTGCTGCGGCTGGTGGTGGTGGAATGAAAGCTCGTCGCAAGTCAGGGTCATGGGATTTCGGCAACATGACTGTTGGAGGGGTGTGGATACCCGACGCTCTAGCAGAACGTAACAGCGTTACCACTGGTAACACAGTAACATCTTTCAACACCATCGGTGGCAGAGATTTCGCCACCGCCGCGTTTGCTGACATTTGCGCCCCTAACGAGAATGACAGTGCCACTGTAGCAGAGGCGACTAGCGGTAACCGTGTAACACTAACTGGTAACAAGGTACCAGCCACAGAGCACAGCAGAGGCTTCCCTCTCTTTAGACACAGCAGCTTGAATCGTGCCTTACTTAACGACCACAGGACAGCACTGGCCAGGCTTGGCGCGCTCTGGGGCACGGGTGGAGGCTCGGACCGCCCTCCTCCCGAACCTGACACGCAGGTTCGGGAATCCTCCAAGCCTGACGGCGAGGTTCGGGGATCCTCCAAGCCTGATGGAGCAGGTCGGGCAGTGCAGCGGCGGTGGGGAGGTTGGAGGTACGGGCCTTTGGGGGGTCGTATTGGCGAGCGTGAGGGGAGTGAAGGTGGAACGGGTGGGGCAGCTGGGGCAACGGCTTTAGCAGGAGCGTCGAGAACAGCAAGAGCAGCACCGGCAACAGTGGCACCAGCAGGTGATGCAGTAAGAACAGGCGAGGTTAGTGTAACGCCAAGACCCCTCACAGCTGAAAGCCCCTGCGTGGGAGGAGGTGGTATCGGCACTGGCAGGAGGAGGAGGGGGATAGCAACTGGCCATCCCTCTCCTCATCCTCATTTGGAGACGCCTCGATAGCAGACACGCTGGACCTCGCATCGCCACGCACCAGCCTGAGTGACGCCTGGGATCAGGCCCTCATCTCCTCTCTCGATGATGATGCCTCGCTGCTTCCCCTGCCGCCCACCCTCGCTTCTGCCTGGGATAGTGCAGGCGCGGTTGGTACCGGTGCTATTGCTGGTTCGGTGAGGGGCGCGGTGCAGCAGGGTGTTAGTGGTGGTGGTGGGGCGTGCGTTGCATCCCAGACGAGGGAAATTCTGGCTTGCTCGCAGAGGCTGGCTGCGGGTGTGCAGGTTGCTGCGGCTGCTGCGGCGGTGGTGGCAGGAAGGGTGGGCGAAGCACCAGCGGCAACAGGTGGGGGAGCAGCAGCAGGATCAGCAGCGGCAGTGGCAGCAGCAGCAGTAGAGGCTGAGCAGGAGGGTGTATGCAGCACTGGCAACGGAAGGCAACAGAGGGGATCAGTGGATGCAGGGTTGGAGACTGGAGGAGAGGGTGGTGAGGCCTGCAGCAGGGAATGGGCCTCCTTGGAGTGTAATGATAGTGATGCAAGGATGGACCCGTGTGACTCTAGGCTGGGTGACAGTAGTGGGATGCAGGGCAGCAGCTGGAATTTGGGAATACGGCCCGTCTCAGCAGTATCGTCTTTAGCATCAGTAGCTTCGACATCTTCTGTGGTCACGGCCGTTGCTTGCCATGGGACGGGCATAGAATCACCAAAAGCAGAGATGAGAGGGATGAGAGAGGACGGAACGGGAGTGGGAAAGATTTCATTGGGCGTATCCCTTCCAACTACCCCTTCTCTCCCGTCCTCCCTTCCCTCCCCAACCTCCACCGTTTCCTCTGCCACCATCAGCCTTCCCCGAACCTACAGCAGCTCCGGGTATGGGTTGAGCCCGCCGAACCAAAGGGGGCAGGTTCGGAGTGAGGTGCTACAGTTGCCAGCATGGGTGGATGAGAAAGTTGGAGCAAGAGGGAATGGAGGGGATGTGGGGATGGGACGAGAGAGGGGGAGTGAGGAGGTGGGTTTGAGCGAGAAAGAGAGCGAGGAGGTGGGTTTGAGCGAGAAAGAGTGGAAGCATGGGATCCAGAGTGGAAGCTTGGCGGGGCATAGTGCGGTTGGGAGTGGTATTAGTGGTAATGCTACACGGTAATCGTCATGTGATAGTGATGTGGATGGAGCCTTGCATTCCAAGCCTTTTAACTGGAACGAGATAACTCTATATGGAGGGAACTCGGGCAGGAAAACCCTTGAAAACAGTAGTGAACTGGGGAGTAGCAGAGAGCAGGAGAGGGAGAGGGATCGGGAGAGAGAAAGGCAGAGGGAAAGGGAGAGGGAAAGGGAAAGGGAGAAGGAGAGGATGCGGGAGAGAGAGAGGAAGGCAGAGAGGGAGAGAGCAAGGCATAGGAGCATGGGAAGTACTGCCAGCACCGCAAGCATCGCAGCGAGCATTGATGCTTGCGACGTGTCAAGCATGCAAGCCGAAGCAGATAGGAGCCCTGCCAGCAGCCCTGGTACTAGCAGCCCGGGTGCCAGCCCCGATGGTAGTCCTAGCACGATCCTCAGAAACAGCCACTGCCACCGCAGCACCACTGGAAGCATGGGGAGCTTGCACGGCCAGTGCAGCAGCAGTAGTAGCATTGGCAGGGTGAGTAGTATGGGAGATCTGACTACGATGGTTGCTGATGCTGATGGAAATGCGGATGGAGGTGATTCTATTGCTTCTAGTGACGGGGGGGAGCGAAGGTGGAGAATGGGTGGACTAAGAGGAGGAGGAAAGAAGGGCTGGGGAGGAGGAGAAAGATTGTGGAGGGTAAGCGGAGGGGAGGAGGAGCAGGGGGAGGGGGATGGTGGATACACGAGCGAGACTGGCAGCTCTAGAGCCAGCTTTAGGTACCGCCGGTTCGGCCGAGCCTCTTGGTCGAAACCAAACCTTTCTCTTCCAAAGCTGTCAACCGCACTGTTGTCTCAAGATTCTAGAGGGGGCGAACATCTTACTCCCGGACCTAAAACTGTGGGCTCTGCCAAGCCTAATCCCGGACCTGCTACTGCCGAGCCTAGTGCTGAGCCGAGCTCGCAGAAACGGCAGCAGCAGCATTCGGTGTTCTCCTCACACAAGCTGCTAGGCCCGGTAAGAAGCTTGGAGTCATGGGCCCGAAGCTCAAGCCCAGGCACGGTCAGGTACTACCAGGGTCGAGGGAGGGGATCAAGTGGGGATTGGAGCGAGTGGGAAGGTAAAGGAGGCGAGGAGCATGGGAGGAGGAAGGAGGGGGAGGCGAGAGGCAATAAGAAGGGGGCGTTTAGGAAGGAACGGGAAGCAAGGAGAGGTGACGGGAGGGGAGGGGAGGAGGAGAGAGAGAGAAGAGGAGCGTTGTTGCCACCGCTTTCGGCCGCTCCCCTTTCCAGGACTGCCTCTGCACCCATCCACTCACACTCACTCACACTGACCCACACACTAACACTCCCACCCACACACACCCCTATTTCCACTGACCAAAGGCACCAAACGTCTATGTCTGTTCACTCATTGAAGTCTTCCGCACACCATCTTTCCTTTAAGGAGGCAGCTTATACTAAGACACCAAATGGAGACCAATTCTCGACACCTGCTTATAAAGGAGATGCGAGTGGCGGGGACAACTGCGGTGGTGTAAGCCGAAGGAATGGGGAAGGTGGGGGTGAGAGGCGGGGGGTCCTGAAGCAGTCCTTGAGCTGGGAGGAGAGAGGAGGGAGTAAAGCTGTTCCGATCTCTCATCCACTTTTTAAGGTGATTCATTTAGAGGCGCAGGGTGCAGAAGGGACAGAGTCGGAAGGGGAGGAGAGGAGGGAGAAAGCGTGGGAGAGGAAGAGGGAGGAGGAGAGGGAGTGGGAGTGGGAGAGGGAGAGGGAGCGGTTTGTGGTAGGGAGTGTGAGTTTCAAGGAGGCAGAGAGAAAAGAGGAGAGGGGTAGTGAGAGTAAAGGAGTTATCGACAAGGGCGAGGAGGGAGGTGTAATGGTGACTGATGGTTGTGTGGGTGGCAGTGAGGCGCGGGAGGAACGGTGTAGGAAGATGAAGAGGCAGGTGTCATTCAATTCGGTTGTGAAGGTCTACGAGTATGACGATGTGCAGTGATTGTTATTGATGTACCATATTGATGATTGCCTGCCATGCTTCAAACCACCAGAATTCCTTTAAAACCAGGGTCTCATGTACTGAACATCCTCATCAACTGCAAAACACCGTCATCGCCCGGATATACGGTAAGACAGTGTAGAATTGAAGACGGGGGGTCTTTAAAACGGGTGTATCTTATAGATGGGTGTTCCTGATTATAAGACACCTGTCGGTGTGTACGAGTTAAAGCGACGGGCAACTTTTGGCAGTGTTGGGTTCAGAAGTTTTTTTTTTGAACCAGGCTTGCCAGCGCGAAAGTGCTGGCTGGCGAAAACCAGGTTTTCGTGCGGACACTTTCCATCCGCAGTAACAGTTCGCCAGGGTTCTGGGTTTTGGGTGGCAAATGTGCACCGTCGCTTTAAACCAGTGTAGGGCACATTTCATCGCCAATGTGCGACGCAGCCAGAAAGCACGGCCAAAGCCACCGCAAAACAAATTCCAAACTGCGTGAGACTCCGAGCACAGTATGACTTAGTCAGGCATAGTCAGACATTAGTAGGCAGACATTCCCGAGTCGCCGAGCCAACGCCAACCAAATACATACGCACATCGTCGCGCAAATTATCTCGTGATCGTATACACATCGACGTGTGGCACACAAATGCAATAAAAAACGAAAAGCTTTTAGGGTTCCAACAGGGGGAAAATGCCTTAGGATTAGCCGCGACCCTGTGTTCTTCTGGAACCGGCATCTCAACAAGAGCGTCGTCCAGGTACTCACAATGCTCGGGGCTCATGACGAAGCGTGAACAAATTATAAAAAATATCGCACGTGAGAGTGACCGCGCGAAAGAAAATAAGTGTAGCCTCTGCCGACTGTCGTCCTCCATGGGCTATTTCCATGTGACTCGGTTAAAATATGCGCCCAGCTTGTACTGAAGCGTTAATCCAGTGTTTTATCAGAAACCGACGTCCAGCCCACATGACGCAGTGTGGAACAGGTGCAATGGTGACCCATCTACCCACGTGCCCGCAAACCCCCACCTTTGACCCGCCGTCTTATGCGACTCACCTTACCAAGTGTGCACTCAACTGCCCCCCCCATGTGCACTCATCTGCCCCCCCCATGTGCACTCATCTGCCCCCCCCATGTGCACTCATCTGCCCCCCCCATGTGCACTCATCTGCCCCCCCCATGTGCACTCATGTGCTCCCCTCTCCTCCCATGTCCTCTCGTGTGCTCCCATTCTCCACGGATCACTACCTCAGCGCCCCGCATCTCCGTTTTTCGGGCCTCTCCTCCCCTTCTGTGCTCTCCTCTACTCTACTCGTCTATCCTAATCTCTCCCCTCCTCCCCTTATCCCCCCTTGATAGGCCCGGTTCCCCTCTTGTGCTCTCTCCAGCTCCCCTCGATCCCGCTTTGAACGCCTTTCCCTTTGTGCTCTCTCCCCCTCGTCTCCTCTCCCCTGTGCGCCTTTCTCCTCCCCGTGTGTGCCTACTCCTCTGCTCCGCTCGTCTGTAAATCAGATTCTCCCCTGCGCATCCATTCTCACCACTGAACTCTCCCCCCTGTAGTGCTCTACCAGGGGTCGAAAGTCCCCCCATTTCTCACCTCTGCCCCCCTCTTCTCAACCGTGCGCACTCCCCCCTGTTCTCCACGCTGTGCTTTCGTAGTCACCCTTTGTGCTCTACCCAGCTTTACAACAGTCTGGCCCCTATGTGCTTTCGTGCTCCCCTTGTGTGCTCTCCCCTGCTTTATACCAACGGCCCCAATGTGCTTACGTGGTCCCCTTGTGCGCTCTTCCCTGCTTTATGCCAATGTCCCCATTGTGCTCTCGTGCTCCCCGGGTGTGCTCTCCCCTGCTCCAGACTATGGCCTCATTGTGCTTTCGTGCTCCCCTAGTGTGCTCTCCCTTGCTTCATACTATGGCCCCATTGTACTTTTGTGCTTTCCTAGTGTGCTCTCTCATGCTTCATACTATGGCCCCATTGTACTTTTGTGCTTTCCTAGTGTGCTCTCCCATGTTTCATACTATGGCCCCATTGTGCTTTCGTGCTCCCCTAGTGTGCTCTCCCATAATTCATACTATGGCCCCAATGTGCTTGCGTGCTCACCGAGTGTGCTCTCCCATGCTTCATACTATGGCCCCATTGTGCTTACGTGCTCACCTAGTGTGCTCTCTCATGCTTCATACTATGGCCCCACTGTGCTTACGTGCTCACCTAGTGTGATGTCCCATGCTTCATACTATGGCACCATTGTGCTTTCGTGCTCTCCTAGTGTGCTCTCCCCTGATTCATACTATGGCCCAATTGAGATATGATGCTCTCCTATTGTGCACTCCCATGCTTCATACTATAGCCCCACTGTGCTTACGTGCTCCCCTTGTGTGTTCACCCATGCTTTAAACTATGGCGCCACTGTGCTTTCATGTTCTCATGGGGTGCTCTCCTCAGCTTAATACCACTGGCCCCACTGTTCTGCCCTGAAGTTTGAGGTCTAGTCCCTTGCACATCTCGGCTCCCCTGTGCTTCCCCTTGCCCCTCTTGTTTAGGCACCCATTCAGGCTGCGCCACCACTTGCCGGCTCATAATGGTTGGTACTTGTGAAATAAAATGCGCAATCTTGTGTCAATATACGCAGCGATACTGTTGTGGCGGTTAAAGAGCCATTCTCATACAGCCAACAACCCATTCATGACACGGAAAGCTGCGGCGAAAGCAGAAACCGACAAGTGAAGAATGACACACCAAACTCTATGTGTCTCTCTGCGCACCCCTTTTCATTCCTCCACATTAGGCGAACCAAGGGGGGTGGGTCTACCTGAGACACCCCTAAGGGAGCAGGACCTGTGGGGGGAGAGGGTCTACCGAGGTGGGAACTGGTACCAGGAAGAGAGGCGCCAAGGGGACCGGGTGGGATGCGTGCGGGTGGAGCTTGTAGAAACAGACAGACTCGTCAAAGGTGACGTCATGGGAGGACAGGACTCGACGCGTGCAAGGGTAGTAAAACTGCCATGGCGGGGCGTCAGTGGGGAAGCCCAAGAAGGCGAAACGGAGGGTGCGAGGAGTGAGCTTGCTCGCTATGGTATCGCAAACAAGGGAGAGTGCGCCCCATACCCGAAACGCCGACGCATCGCCAACCTTTCCCGTCCAACGGACTGTGGGCAAGGTCTCTGGCAAAGAGACACGAGGCCAGAGGTTGAGCTGATGCGCGGTGTATCGGACCGCAAACGGCCACAGGAAATGGGGAGCAGCCGCATGGATCATGGAGGTACGAGCAACCTCCATGATCAAGCCAATGCGACGCTCACCAATCCCATTCTGCTGCGGAGAGGCCGGAAGCGTGAACGACTTGAACATGTCATATTATCTTCTGTTATATTGCCACCACAACAAAACACCCCTAAGCTTCTGAGTAACATCAGGATTGCCCAAATTCACTATTCATGTACATGTGACTATAAAGAATGTGTTAAGATATGAGAATGGATGACAAGCAAATGAACAAACAAGCAAGATATAGGTCAGCCCTAACCCTAAACATAGGACAAAAAGAATACACCTAGACTAGAACAATACAAACTATATCATTATAGTTTTACACACCCCCATAGTCTAGGTGACGGTAGTCCTGTGGAAAACAACACGTATCTCAGGGTGGATCACGAAGTCACCACACAGTCTGAGAGCAAGGGTCACATGACCAGTCAGCAAGAACAAACAACGGTCACAAAGACCAGTCTGCAACAACAAGAATCACTCAAGAGATGCACTTTGGGTGGATCACAACGTCACCACACAGTATGAGGGCAAACAAGGGGGCACAAGGCCAGTCCACATGCATCAATATAGATATATAGGAACAGATGCAAGAGTACAAGACAGAGCATCTCTACGCAAGCAAGTCAGGGCCTGTAGACACCAAGCCTAGCTGGGTGCACAAACGCTGGTGGGCACAAGGCGAGAATGCCTTGGTGAAGATATCGGCAGTGTTGGCCTCAGAGACCACACGTACCACGCGGGCCTGGCCACGCTGCTGAAACACGCACAGAAGGAAGTAACGAAGATGGATGTGCTTCACCTTCCCAACCAGTCGGGGCTCCTCGCACAAACAGGACATCAGACCTGTTGTCGGTGAACAAGACTGGGGGAGAGCGAGGCCGCTCACCAAGGTCGGTGAGGAGGAAAGACAGCCAGCAAAGCTCCTGGGCGGCCATGGCTGCAGTGTACACCTCTGCCTCACAGTTGGAACTGGAGACTGACGATGCCGGAGTCGACCTCCACGAAACAACTCCGGTCCCAAGACTGAAGCAGTAACCCTTTGTAGACCGCAGCGACTCAGTGTCGTCGGCCCATGACGAATCCGAGTAACCTGTAAGTGTAACTGGCTGCTTCCATCCAAGGACAAGTCCCATGCCTGATGTACTCGCCACATACTTCGCCACCCTCTTAGCCGCGTACCAGTGGGAAGTTCGTTGTCTCCCAGGCGCAACAAAGCTCACCAGGACGCTAAGAGGGTAAGCTAGGTCTGGGCGAGTGCAGGTTATCAGGTACATGAGACAACCCACCAACTCAGGATATGGACCGCTGGACTCAAATGGCTTGTCCGAAGGTGGAGCCATGAGCCCATGATCCACAGCAAGAGGGGTAAGCTGTACCTTGGAGAACTGGAAGCGGAACGGTGTGAGGATCTGCTCGACCATATGCGACTTCGTCAGCGTAATGGTGCGAGCTGCCCTGTCCCTGGTGATCTGCAGACCAAGGTAGCGCTGCAGCTCACCAAGGTCAGTGCAAGTGTGTCTCCTCTGCAGTTCCTCCTTCACAGAGGCCAGTGCGTGTCGGTCAGGAGTGGCAAAGACTAGATTGTCAACGTAAACAAGAACAAAGAACGGGGTCAAGCCACGGCGGACGAAGAGCGACGGGTCAGCAGACGACGGAAAGAAGTCAAGCACAGCAAGTGTCGTGCGAAGTGTGACGTGCCACTCACAGGGAGCCTGGCGCAGGCCGTAGACCGGTCGACGCAGATGCCACTTGGTCCCAGGAGGGAAAGAACCAATGAAGCCAGGCGGGCAACGCAGCCAGATCTGCTCGTGCAGGCTCCCCTGAAGAAACGCTGTGGAGAAGTCCAAGGAGTGTAACTCGTAGTCGCGCTGAGCTGCAAAGTGCAGTAACACCCGAAGAGTTGTCATCTTCGGGGTGGGAGCGAAGGTCTGGAAGAAGTCTACCCCCTCGTGCTGACTGAAGCCTCTTGCCACATAGCGCGCCTTGAACACCGGTGGTGATCCAGGCGACCGCATCACCTTGTAGAGCCACATGCCACTGACGACGTTCGTCCCAAGTGGTGGGACGGCGTCAATGTAGGCGCTTGTGGACCTATAAGATGCCATCTCTGCCTCCTCAGCTGCTATCCAGTACGAGGCCCAAGGTCCCGAGACCTCCTCAGCGTGATTGCGAGGGATTGGGATGTCAAGAGTGTCTGGATCCCCTTCAGGGGCAAGCAGCATGGCGCAGAGATAAGGAACAGCGACCGCAAGGAAACCAAGCTCGAACTGCCTGTCCTCCAGGTTCTCCAGGGGAAAAACAGGGACACCCCCAGTGGACGGAGAACGAGCAGTGCCGCTCACTAGGTGGGAGGCGTAGTCAAGACGGTGGGATGAGGCAAAGCCAGCAACAGTGGTAACAAGGGTTGAGACACACAACAGAGGGGCAGTCGGGTGAGTGACCAACGCGGACAGAACACGAGAGACGACAGGATGGGAGGCACGGAGGTAGTCGGACAACGGGTCGTAAAGCACAGTGAGGGACGACTTAGGAGGCTGTGGAAGGACCGGAAGAGGTGGAACACGAGAGCGGAGTACAAGGTGAAACGGGCCGTCAGCACGGTAACAAGACCGACGGGGCTCTGGAGACAAAGCACGACTGAGGGGAGAACGACGAGTCCACTGGGATGAGGAAAGGGACTGAACGGGGGGAACAGGATGGGATGGTTGTTAGAATATACTTATATATTCTTTATAATTGTCTGTAGTGTAGACTGTAGTGTATCTCACTTGCTGTAGGTGGTGTACCATGTGGCTTTCTCTTTGCTATATCTTGTACCTTGCTCAATAGTGAAACCCCTTCTTTCTCGATTTTCCTTGCTTCAACTCTCTCAACACCCAAGCTATGCCTCCTAAGCCTAAACCTAGTTTCCTTGGTGCTTAGTATTCTAACAACGGTAGGGGACCACGAACCAAGCGTGTGGGTGCTGGGTCGGGCAGGCCGTGTAATCGCAGTCGCTGCCGCTCCGCCTCCTCTGGCGTCTGCTGCGACGGTACTTGCCCCTGCTGCTGATCCTGTGGCTCCTCCTCTGCCCTCTCCTGCTGCGGCTGCAGCTGCACCCGCTGCTGCGACCGAGACTCCTGCGCTACCCTCTCCTGCTGCGGTCGTGACTCCTCTACTTTCTCCTGCTGTGTCTGTATTTGCAGCTGCTGCTGTGGGCGGGACTATTGCTCTACCCTCTCCTGGTGCGGCCGTGACTCCTCCTCGACTCTCTCCTGCTGCGACTGCAACTGCACCCGCTGCTGCACTCGTGACTCCTCCTCTACTCTCTCCTGCTGCGGCTGCAACTGCACCTGCTGCTGCAGCCGTGACCCCTCCTCTGATTTCTCCTACTGCTGCTATGACTCCTCCTCTACCTTCTCCTGCTGCTGCCATGACTCCTCCTCTACTCTCTCCTGCTGCTGTGACTGAGGCTGCTCCTGCTGCTACCGCTACTGCTTCTCCTGCTGCTGCTGCTGCTGCTGCTGTTGTGCCCTCTGAAACCGCTCACCTGACGGGGTAGGACGCGAGGGGGGAGGGGCTACCGGGGCCACTGGGGGGGGCTCAGTGGTGAGGAACAGCGGGGGGGAGAAGGTCTTG